CCTGTATGGAAACTATGAAGAAAATTTAACGGCTATTCATTTTATAGACCGGGTACACGATATCAAAAGCGGTGATGTTTTTTAGCCGATCAATGACCGCTTTAACCACCACAAACACCTACGTAGCCGTGCAAAAAAGTATCTGAGCCCTTCGAAAAGCGTTAAATACTCCTTGCTTCCTAAAGCTTTCAGCCAACTAACACATGTTGCGTCTTATCCATACGCTCTACATAAACGCCTGGCAACGTCACTATCATGAGGACTCAGCATTTTTCATGAAGAGAAACAAATTGTTTAAACACGAAAGTTCTATGCTCTGATTTTCTTGATGGTCCATTCAATTTTGTTTGATAAATAAAAAACACTTATATAACGTAATAAGAAGATATTTGGACTACCTGATAGAATGACTCGGTCCCTATATGTCGAAATCGAGGCCATCGATAACTTTTTGTTCCACTACCGCATCCGAAATTGGCTTCTTGCCGAGAACAAAGAAATACGGAACCACTTCCTCCGACTTTGGAGAAATGACGGGCGTCCACTGGCGACCGAAATGTTCTCCAGCTGTCGTCAACGATGCCTGCACATTCAGCGTCCATGACAATTCACTTAGCAGTCCTTGTAATGGCTCGTCCTCTCCATACTTCATAGCGTGCTTTCCCCATTCCTCACCGTCCACCATAATTTGGCCAGGAATATCCGCCCAAAATGCACTTCCAGGGGCTGAGAGATACTCGATCGCTTTCATTAAATCGGCGATGCTGGAGCGCTCCATGTACGGAATCAATCCCTCCATCACCCAAAACGTTGGCATCGTAGGGTTGAATCCGTGACCCATCAAGTTTGTTTCTAACCCCGCCTGAGCTAGATCCGAGACGATACTGTCAACATTCTGAGCGACAAGTGGCGCATGAAGCTCTTTAATCACTTCTGCCTTGTGCTCAAATACAGAGCTACTACGATCTACTTCCAAAACATGACATCCTCGCAATGACGCCAAACGGTAGGCACGGGCATCAAGTCCAGCGCCGAGAATTACGATTTGAAGTATTTTTGGATCACGGTGGCACAGCGCTTCGTCTAGATAGCGCGTACGGAGTGCAATGAAATCTGGTGGAAATGAGGAGAATATGACCGTCATCTCTTCCAGAAACTTTTCAATTTTTGGCTTTTGCTTCCGGGTAAGTGGCTTGGCAAAAGGGTCGTTTATAATCCGATCGTTGCGATCGCTCTCACGTGCTCTCAAGTAGGTCGTCACGAAGCTCATGGATTCAGCAAACGCATCGTCTACTTCAAGACAATCAACTTGAAGTAGTGACGAAGATGAAGCAGGATCCATGTCGTGCTCGTGAATGGCTGAGTAAAAGTGGTTATGTTAATTGATTTACAGCACAAATTTCTAGTTGAGAGAAGCATTCTAAGTGAGAACTTCAGAGTTCATCTTTCTCCTACGAATTGGGTGACACCCGTTTCTCCTTCTGTACCTTACAATAATATTCCATTCTGAAACTCTCATATAAATTACAAGGCGGACACCACATACTGGGTGCCAACAGCGTTTACATGTTTCCAAAAAAAATTGGGATATTGATATAAATTAATCTTTCGATGTCAAACGGATAATCCACAATTGCAAAAGAAAGATTGACTCCCCGTCGCAAGAATTTGTCATTACCGTTTTTTCCTGAGCATAGGTAAATCCGTGACTTTGCACTCAAATCATGATACATGACGATTTCGCTCAAATTCATCAACACCTCGACAGCTTGCGTGTAGGCTGTCAGCAAAGCGGTCTTTCTCTCCCCAAGGTGAGGATCGACACAATCCTCTTCACGTATCATTATTATGTAACACGTGTTTTTTTCTTGTGAGCTTCAGAATGTCTATAAGGCTTCTGTTGAATTGATAACAGCACTTTTAAATTCCAACGGCAATGAAGAGGTATTTGAATTTCATACCTGCTAACCGGCTAAATTATTTCTGAACATCATGCTATTCACAAGGTTGCTCTAAAATTATTGACGTCAAGGCTTCACAGCAAGAACAAACGAGAACACGATACAATAACAGAAATGGACGAGATAAAGCAAGCTGGCCAAAGTTTGAGCGAGATTGGAAACGTCAAGGAGACGCCGGAAGAAGATGAGGTTGGAAACAAAGACGGGCTAGAACTTTCAGAGGAACCACCACGTAAGATATCGCGCTTAACTGCTGATGTACTGAAGAAATCAGCAGCTGTGGACTCGAATAAAGTTCTTGTGAATGTACTTGCGGATTACGGCGATCAACACATTCGTCAAGGACACACGGGTAAAGGGGTCGCTCAACTACGAGCAGCACGCGCGATTCGTGACTATCCGCACCCAGTTACCTCGGCTGCTGATGCTCGTGCTATCCGCTCTGTCGGACCAAAGATGGCGACTCGAATTGAGCATATTTTAAGCGCTGAAAAACTTGACGTCGAAGTGCCAAAGTCAAATCATATCGAAAAGTTCGAGCTACCAAAATTGATTCAGGAAATTCAGAGTCGAAAGGCAATGTGTCCTGAAAATCAAAAGTTAGTGGATGAGCTCGCATATTTTGGGGAGCACGAGCTCCTTTTTCGAAGCGTTAGCAAAGGGATGACACATCTTCGCGCGGCTCGAGCCTTGCAACTTGCTGATCAAGTGACCACCTCCGGTAGCCAAGCTAGACATTCTTTAGCAATTGGACCAGCAATAGCCGACAAGATCGACCAGATTCTTAAATATGGTCGCATCGTTAAAGATTCAGTTTCAATCCCTATTGTGGAGGATCTGCGTCTAAATCCCGCAAAAGAAGTTCAGAATCAACCTCTTGTAGATGCATTGGCTGACTATGGAAGTAGTCACTTGCATTCGGGTCATGCTGGCAAGGGTATTGCCCATTTACGTGCAGCAAAAGCTATTCGTGATGCGGATATCGTAATTAAATCGGGTGCTCATGCAATATCATTAATCAAAAAGGTGAATGCAATGGTAGCGGCGAAGATTGATCAGGTTCTAAAAGAAGGCCATGCTGATACCGAAGAAGAAGATGACGACAGCCAAGACGAAGCAGAAAACGAGTTCGGAGCTCGTGAACCTCCAGATACACCACTGATTGTGCATGAAGTTCGCAGTAAACCTGCTCAAATTGAAGAAAATCAGAAAATTGTCAATGCACTTTCAACGCGTGGAGAGATGCAACTTGCCAAATGGCACACCGGTCAAGGGACGGCGTTCATGCGCGCAGCTCGTCGACTTCGAGATGCGGCTGAAGTTGTGACAAATGGCACTGTGGCAAAGGCTTTGGGTCGAATTGGGGATAAAGTAGGGGCATTTATTGACGGGATTATGATGGAAGACCAAGCAGATACGACAGAAGAGTAGGAATACATAATTGCATTTCCGCTTGTAATTTGAGGTAAAACAGATTTCCAAATGTGAAAAACTAAGAAGGTAATAGTGGCAGTTGGAATTCCATGGTCTCACATTTTTCTCGTACAAGCACGTTTTGTGTTCCTTAAAAAAACAGTGAAAAATGTATTGTGTTGTACTAGGCTGAATCAACTTGTCTCGCTTGAAGGTTCGAGTTGTGGCTGTTCTAACGGTGATATTCTGATGTCTACGTCTCATACTTATGCATTAAACGGTTTTATATATCGTTTCATTCCTCCTTTTTACAAGGGTTACGCACTGGTAGAAACACGCATCAATATGACCGATGCAAAGACGGCTAATGCGGTGTACGCGCAAATTGGAAAGTTACGAGAGATGGCTATGAATAAAAATGTCGATATTCCTGAGGTAAGGCTGTGTGAGCATTGTCTGTAAGCTATCTCCAGTGAATCGACACACTATCGTATCAACGTAGAATCCCTACGTGGCCACACATGAGATCGCTACGGCGCTTCTTGCATCGAACGGAGATGATCAGGTCAGACAACATCATACTTCTCGATGGGTATTATGTTAACAGCTTCATGGATATAGGGTGCATTGAAGAAGGTGATGGCGAAATTTGGTCGAAACAAGCGATCGCTTCCAGCTGAGGCGAATCAGAATAGTAAGAAGTCGAAGCGGGCGGGTGATGGCAATGAGCCAGCTTTTGAAGCATCTGGTTATCAAGACAATGGGGAGGATTCGATGCCTCCTCACAAGACTGTGCGGTTGGTTGAAGAAGTGCGTGAAAAAAAAGCTGTGAATTCTGCCAACCAAAAGATTGTAGATGCATTTGCTGACTATGGAGACTATCAACTAAACCATGGACATACTGGGAAGGGAGTATCGCATCTCCGTGCGGCACTTCACATTCGAGATCATCCGGATGCTATTAAGTCGGCAAAGGAGGCGCGATCTGTTCCAATGGTGGGTGATAAGCTGGCTGCTCAAATTGATGAAGTGATTAAGACGGGAAGGTTGACGGATGAAACGGGTGACCAAAATATCAGCACCGATGTAGACAACCACCAGCGACCTGAGTTGGTGGTAGAGATTCACAACTCTCAAGCTAAACGTCCCGAAAATCAGCAGTTGGTACAGGAGTTGACTAAATTTGGGGAACATGAGCTTTATTTTGGAAGTCCTGGAAAAGGAACTACCCACCTCCGTGCTGCACGTGAGATTCAGCTTACGGATCAGGTGATAAAGTCTGGTTCGATAGCTCGGACAAAGGTGCCGCTGGTTGGTGACGTTATCGCGGACAAGATTGACCAGATCTTAGAGTATGGTCGTATTATAAAGGATACAGGTGAAACTACTGGTTCTCGAAGCTACTCGCGTGGCAGTGGTGGGGGTTACGTCGAAGCTCCAATTGTCAAAGATCTGCGTGAAAACCCTGCCAAATGTCCCGAGAACCAGCCGATCGTTGATGCATTGGTCGACTATGGTGACAGTCACTTGTATTCGGGCCACAGAGGCAAGGGGATCTCACACTTGCGGGCAGCTCAGAGTATTCGGGACTCGGAGACGATTGTTAAGTCGGGACAGCAAGCAAGCAAAGAAATTGGGATGGTTGGGAAACGCATTGCGGCCAAAATCGACCAGATTGTTGAACAGGGTCATGCTGATAGTGATGAAGACTACGAGTACGATGCTGAAGAAGAAGATAATGGCTATGGTGAGCGTGATCACGACTCGGTGGTGCCTCCCATTGTGCAAGATGTTACGAGCAAACCAGCTCAAGTGGAGAAGAACCAGGTGCTAGTGAATGCACTGGTTGAATATGGAGAAGAGGAGCTTTATAAGCGCCATACAGGTCGAGGAACGGCTTTCTTAAGAGCTGCACGCCGACTTCGCGATGCTGACACTTTGGTGAGCAATGGACAGGATGCGAAGAAATTGGGTCGCATTGGCGATAAGGTTGCACAATATTTGGACACCATTCTGGCAACCTAGGTGACTTTGATGTAGAGAGCGCTTTTTTTTGCTCTCTACCATATGGAAGAATTTTTGCTAACTCAATATATATTTGTCTCTTTTTAAGAGTAACTTTACTACTTAAAGGACATACTTACTGCCAGATTACATCTATGACTCGAGGACATCGCGCCGAGTAAGGTAATGTACCTAAGTTGGTTGCATATCTCCAGCCATTAACTATTCAAAAGTTTTACGCACGCTTAAGGCAAAGAAAAGGCAGGGTAAGCACCGAAAAATTTTAGATAACCATTCGTGGTCTTCCAAATAAACACAATACTCAGCACATAAGTACAATAACGCGTTAAAAAAAATTGATGTTGACGCATTGGTTCGACAACAAAAATATGGCGCACAATGTGAGCGGATGAGTAATATTTTGCTGCTATGTTTTCGCCTCCGCAACTGCAGTCGTTTGCGTGACAGTAGTTGACCGTACATTAGGTTGCAATGTCTCATCTTTCTGCTTTGTTTCCGTCCGCAATTTGGTCTTGATCATGGTGTCACTGTTCCTGACCTGGTTTTGCTTTTCCTTACTACTGAAAACAGCATGAGTAGCTGTAACTTCACGTACAGCAACACCATTGTTTCTCTTACCAGGCTTTGCCTCGGCTTTTCGTACCACTTTCGTCCCTGTACGCACCCCGTGGCCAGCACTTCGGGAATCTTTCGGTGCAAAGCTAGATTGGACGGTCAATGGCGGCAATGGGCCAGTATACGGTGTATAATTGAACTTGGAACGCGATGCCTTATTAGCAATTACCGGAGTCTTGGGAGCATGTGTCGACAAGCGCTGAGTGAGAGCCGGTGACTTCTTGGTATAAGAAGGTTTTCGAATAGGCGGAGGCGTCGGTGTAGCCTTGACAACAGCAGCGGTTCGACTTGCAGAAGAAGCTGTAGGTCTTGCAAACGAAAACTCTTGCTTTGTTGGAGTCTTTTTGGTGTCCTTTTTCGACTTAATGCTGGTTGCCGAGACGCGGGCCTTTTTATTCTTTCGAGAAGCTGGATCATTTTGAAGGATTTCGAGTTTTCTTTTCGCGACCGACATCTCTTGTTTAGGCATCCGATTAACATTGGTGGTATGTGTCTTTGGTGGTGTTTTTTTATTCTTCTCAATCGCCTTTGTCACTTCTTCCTGCTGTCGCATTTCTTCCTCATGTTCTTCTGTCTTCTCCTCCTCCTCCTCCTTCTGCTGACATTCAACATTCACCGAGTCTTGTTTTGTCTTAGCGTCCACATTCTGTGGCAGCAGAACCGGCGCTTGTTCCGGTTTCTCCTCTGTATTCTCTTCACTCATAACAAATTTGATGACCAAAGACTGGACGTGCTTGCTGCTTTCGATTTCATTACGTTGCGCTAGTTTGGAACAACTTAATGACATGCCAAAAACAATTCCAATCGATTAATTTTAGTTTGTCGTTGTAACGGGGTTACATGAGAGTGACCCGTCACTCTCCCAAGGGAGCTGTGGTGT